GGAATGAAGAAAGTGAAGTTCTTAACTAGTGAAACTTGGTGAACTGCTTCTAAAAAATATGGGTGTGCTCTATCATCTTCACCATCATCATGTGCCCTGTCAATAAGTGTTGGCAGTCAAGTTTCTCCCACAATCACCAGGATCACAGTTCAGGTCAGTGTTCTTGTCTCACTATATTCTTTGGTGTTCTTTAGCTGCAGTAATGTGCTGGAAAGCTCTTTTATAGACCATGCGGGTATCATTTGTGAATTAGAGATTTATAGAATAAATGTGTATCATATGTGAATTAGAGAGAGATTTATAGACCACATAGATATCATATGTGAATTACAGAGAGATTTATAGAATATATGAGTATCATATGTGAATTAGAGAGAGATTTATAGACCACACAGATATTGTATGTGAATTAGAGAGAGATTTATAGAATATATGAGTGTCATATGTGAATTAGAGAGAGATTTATAGACCACACGGATACATGTGAATTAGAGAGCGATATATACAATATATGAGTATCACATGTGAATTAGAAAGAGATTTACAGAACATATGAGTATCACATATGAATTAGAGAGAGATTTATAGAATATATGAGGATCACTTGTGATTTAGAGAGAGATTTATAGAATATATGAGTATCACATGTGAATTATAGAGATTTATAGAATTTATGAGTATCATATGTGAATTATAGAGAGATTTATAGAATATGTGAGTATCATATGTGAATTAGAGAGAGATTTATAGAATATATGAGTATCATATGTGAATTATAGAGAGATTTATAGAATATATGAGTATCACATGTGATTTAGAGAGAGATTTATAGAATATATGAGTATCATATGTGATTTAGAGAGAGATTTATAGAATATATGAGTATCATATGAATTAGAGAGAGATTTATTTATAGATATGTATTATAGAGAGATGTATCATATGTGAATTATAGAGAGATTTATAGAATATATGAGTATCATATGTGAATTAGAGAGAGATTTATTGAATATATAAGTATCATATGTGAATTATAGAGAGATTTATAGAATATATGAGTATCATATGTGAATTAGAGAGAGATTTATAGACCACACGGATACATGTGAATTAGAGAGCGATTTATATAATATATAAGTATCACATATGAATTAGAAAAAGATTTACAGAATATTTGAGTATCACATATGAATTAGAGAGAGATTTATAGAATATATGAGGATCACATGTGATTTAGAGAGAGATTTATAGAATATATGAGTATCACATGTGAATTATAGAGAGATTTATAGAATATATGAGTATCACAGGTGATTTAGAGAGAGATTTATAGAATATATGAGTATCACATATGAATTAGAAAGAGATGTACAAAATATATGAGTATCACATATGAATTAGAGAGAGATTTATAAAATAAATGAGGATATATGAGTATATGAGTATCATAATTATAGAGAGATTTATAGAATATATGAGTATCATATGTGAGAGAGAGATTTATAGAATATCATGAGTATCATATGTGAATTATAGAGAGATTTATAGAATATATGCATCACATGCGGTATCGTTTTAGAGAGAGATTTATAGAATATATGAGTATCATATGGAATTAGGTATCATATGTGAATTATAGTTTATAGCGCGAGTCCGACTCCAGTGTACCAAGATCAAAACCCACTGCCAGCTGTGTAGATTTTTATCATGATATGGGGCGTCACAGGTCGACCCAGCCTAAAATGGGTACCAGGATGGCTTTCCTGGGAAAGTAAAGACGGCCGGCGTAATGCTGACCACATTACCCATCTAGTGTCGATTGGTCTGTGAAAATATGGGTGCTCTTCCCATATGTCCGATGTGCCTGAAGGCATGAAAAGGGATCTTTACTTTTACTTTACTTTGCAGATTCAATCAATCAATCAGGTGCCGTCTCCACAATGAAGGTTGGCTGCAATGGATCTCCAGCAAGCCCTGTCTCTTGCCCTTGATGTACACTCACTAATACTGCTGTTCGTCCATCTCTTGATGTTATCCTCCCACTTGTAACGCTGTCTGCCTTTTGCTCGAGAACCTTGAACCTTTCCCTCTAGGATGATCTTTACAATACTGTTATGTCTTTTAATGTGGCCAAAATATTTCACTTGTCTCTTTTTAATTTCCCCTAGCAACTCTCTTTTCATTCCCAATTTCCTCAGTACATGTATTTGATAGCTTTTGTTTCCATGAAATATGACCTAATCTTCTGTATATTCACATCTCCAAAGAATTGATACGATTTTCCAGTTGTTTGTTCATTGTACATGTCTCTGTGCCAAACAGTAAGGTTGAGAATACATAACATTTGACAATTATCATATTTAATGTATTGCTTATTTCTCTTGATGTCAGTAACTTTTGCATGTTGTTGAAAATGTTTTTGGCCATCCCTATTCTTTTCTTGACTTCTGTTTCACTTCTGCCGTCACATGTTATTACTTGTCCAAGATATAAGAAATGTTTAACTTGTTCCAATTTCACCCCGTTCACTGTGATATTCATTGTTAGCTGATTATTTTCTTTGCTAAATATCATGGTTTTTGTCTTTTTCAAATTAAAATCTAATCCAAATTCTGCACTCCTTCAGTTAACTTGTTCCACTAGGTCTTGCAACTCCTGCTCACTCTCTGCTAGCAACACTGTGTCGTCCGCATATCTCAGATTGTTTATTATTCTATCATTGATGTGAAGTCCTGGTAATTCTACAATTTCTTTAAAAAATGGTTTCTGTACATAAGTTGAAAAGGCTAGGCGACAGCACACATCCTTGTCTTACTCCTCTTTTGATCTCTATCTGGGGTGAGCAGATGCTGTCATATCTTACTGTTGCTTCTTGCTCCCAGTATAAGTTTCTAGTAAGTCTGATATCCTTTCCATCTAGTCCTATGTTTTGAAGAGCTGCAATTAGTTGTTCATGTTGCACTCTGTCGAAAGCTTTTTTGTAATCGATAAAACATGCATAAATATTTTTCTGAACTTCTATATATTTTTCAGTCAGCATCTTTAGACAAATTATGGCCTCTCGAGTACCACTGTTTTTACGGAATCCAAATTGCTTTTCAGAAACTTCTTTCTCTATTTTATTTTGAATTCTTCCTTGTATTATCTTCAAGAGTAACTTAGTTACGTGACTCATTAGGCTAATAGTTCTGTAATCTTCACAATCAACAGCTTTTGATTTCTTGGGTAGTGTGATAAAAACAGATGTTTTCATGTCCCTGGGAATGTACCCATAGTTATAAATGTCATTGCATATTTCTGTGATAGTATCAATTCCAAAAGTAGATAAATATTTTAACATTTCTGCAGTTATGTTGTCTGGACCTACAGCTTTTCCCTGCTTCATCTGTTTAATGTCTTTCTCTACTTCAGACTTTAATATGTTTGGTCCCTCTTGAATATTATGGATTGGTGGTTTGTCACCTCTGTTGTCCCAAAACAGGTCTTCTGTGTATTCAGTCCATCTTTTTATTATATTTTCTTATCAACAATAATTTTTCCATCCTTCCCCCTAATACAACCATTTCCTGTTAAATGTTTTTCCTTGTTTGTAAGTTTTCTTATATTTGCATGTATTTCCTTGATCTGTGTTTTATTTCAAGATCCTCTATTTCTTTGCATTTTAACTGAATCCATGTTTCCTTAGCAGTTTTACACATATTTCGTATTTCTTTGTCTATTAATGAATATTCTGGAGTGTTTTTTGCTTTCTTCCTTTGTGTCATTTTGTTAATAATTTCTTCAGTCATCCATACTTGATTTTTCTTGTTTTCTTTCACTGGTAAGATTTCATTAGCTGTTTCTATACTAGTTTTGAAACATTCCCATTTTGTATTAATTTTGTCCTCTGGATTTTCCCGTCGATATTGTTCCATGCTTTCAACTATTAATCTGCCATATTTATTTTTAACCTCCACTAGGTACTGCTGGCTTATTTCTGGCTGTTTCAAAGCTGATATGTCTATTTGGGGTGACCTTTGTGTTTTTATTCCTGCGTTTTTATGTTTAATTTGTATTTTTATTACCACAGGGTTGTGATCTGAATTTATATCTGCACCTGGGTATGTTTTGGCGTTCTTTATGTTGTTTTTGAATCTGTCTCTAATCATTACAAAATCAATTTGGTTTCTATTTATATCTCCTGGACTCTTCCACGTAAACAGTTTTTTAGGTGGATGTTGAAAAAATGTATTACAGATAATGAGTTGGTTCTCTTCGCAAAACTGTATCAATCTGTCTCCTCTGTCATTCCTTGATCCCATGCCAAATTGCCCTACAATATGTTTGTGCTTCTTTTTCCCCACTTTTGCATTCGGGTCTCCTATAACTATTAAGACCTCTGATGATTTTACAACTTTCAGTGTTTGTTGTAGTTCTTCATAATATTCTTCAAGCTGTTCATCACTGTAGTCAGTTGTTGGTGCATATGTCTGTATTATTGCAATATCAAAAGGTCTTGCCTTGATCTTGATCAATATAATTCTGTCATTGTGAGCCCAGAACCGGCTAATAAACTTCTCTAAATTTCTTTTTATCAAGAATCCTACTCCACGTTCATGATTTTCTCCTCCAGAATTAATAAATATGTAATAATCTCTCTTTAGGCAGCTAGCTTCTGTCCATCTTGTTTCTGATACTCCCAAAATATCTAAATTCACATTCTTTGCCTCAGAAATTAAACAGTCAAATTTTCCAACTTGATATAACGTTCTAACATTTGCAGATTAGGGAAAGGTTAAAAGCACTGAGAAATGGCACTGAATTTATATAAACATACATACACGCATGCACATATGCACAAACACACTCTCACTCTCTCTCTCTCTCTCACACACACACACACACACTCCAAAAACTAAGAGAATAGTTTGTAGAATGAGTCTCCAGACACAAAAATGGCAGTATAAAAATTATCACAACAATTACTGTGAATATTGTTCTAGCTGCAAAAGACCTCACTTTCATTTTCCGGCTCCAAGATAGTTTGTCCAGAATGTGCTCAGAGATTTGCTTTCCTGCCAAATATAATTTAAAACATATACAACAATGTTGTAACAGGGAGACATTATCCCTTGTTTGTAGAAGGCACAAAGTTATGATGTACTGAAAATCAACAAGTTTTGCTAACCTTGACATGCCCTTTTCCAGAATCTTCTTTTCCCGCCAAAACTAGCTGTTGACATCAAACTGAGGTTGTCTGGCCTTGACCTTCTTTCTAGAAGTTTTGAAATGCGTTTGTTTCATCATGTGACCTAACCTTGTCTTACAAGTAAATACCTTGTTGTCGTGCCCTATCAAAGCAAACGCAATTATACTTGTTTTCTAGAAGGACAGCTGTCAATTTAACTACTATAGTTTCGCAGAAAAAGATGATGAAATCTGATGCAATTGAGATATAATTAGCAAATCCTATGTGAGAACGTATCTAGTAAACTAGTTGAGACGTACTAGAATATTCTAGAAGCAGAAAAAGTGAGAAGAAAACAAATAACTAGCATTCCAGCATCAAGTATAAATACTGGATAAGAATCCACTCAGGAGAACTCTTCAGTCCACAAGACTCAAGAGAGGAGAGACCAGTCACATTGACTCTCAAAGCAGTCTTCAGTTGTAGAGATGTCAGCTTAACTCAAAGAATGCCTTCAGTCATTGAGACTCAGAGGACGAGCGACTAGTCTCAGTGATCCCCGTAGTTTTTAGCCAACTCAAAACTAGAGGGAGAGGAGCCAGTCATACTGAGCCTTGAAGACAGTCACTAGAGAGAAAATCTATGAAACAAGACATCGAGCTACAGAGACAACACACAAGATACATGAATCCATGGTTAACGGCGACACATTAGGTAGGAACACTGTGAGATGTTAGAGTCAACGATCAATCCGTTAGTACCAGACATCACTAAAGGCCAGGTGGCAGTTACAGACACTAGAACCAAAGCAACTAGAGAACACAACACAAACCTACGAGTTTGCAGCCATAGAGAGAGCACAGCGCTATTTAGAATATCATTGCTGTTATTTTGTGACATTGCTGAAGTATCACAATAAAGACAGTACAGACAAGAACTGTTGTTTCCAGACATTTTGTTATACAAGCATCAGAGTCACGTGAGAAGCATGTAGCTAGCAAGACATCATCATCATCACCACTGTCGACACGACCATCTTTCTCCTCGTCTATGATCTCCTAATCGACTCCTTCTGTAGCAAACCTAAAGACGAACCTGGGTGTGACAACAATATACGCAATGAAGAAGAGAGCTGTGCTACAATTAGACCTTACTGTCATGGGTGCTGGGAGCTGGTATGTAAAAGAAAGCAACAACACTTGCAACAGATACTGTGATACCTTATTAACATGACCTCGCTTAACTCTTTCAGTCCCAGGGAAAGTTAAGCATCAGAGCCCCACGGGGGGTAGTAAAGAGAGACATAAAATTGGCGCACATTGAGTTCATTGAGCTTTTAGGTAAGACCTATGAAATTATGATGTGTTCCTTGGGACTGGAAGAGTTAAGGAGAAAACAGGGTAAGAAGAACACATGGTTAACATGAACAAAATATTGGCCCCAGCAGGAAAATATTACTGTTATTAGTCCCAGTTAGCACGAATAAAAAAAAATATGAATTTGATTTCTGGTGCCTGAGATGTCTGAAATTCTCTTAGTGTGGGTCCTGACACTACATTTTGGAGAACAAAGAATTGATCCATTGTCACACCCCCCCCCCCCCCCCCCCCCCCCCCCCCCCCCCCCCCCCCCCCCCCCCCTTTTCCACCAACAGCACGTTGTAGGAGGCAGCTAATTCAAAGTTGGTGTAGTTTTGTGACACAATTTTTCAAAGTGCTGAAAAAGTTTTTTCTTCTATTTTCAAATTAACTATTTAGCTTGGCCTTTTATTCTCAAAGAAGCAGATTTCATTAACCTGTGAAACTCAGTAAACTGTCTTTACATTTGCCTTGTGTTTATCACTTTGAGAATGGTGTAGACGTTGGGCGAGGAGTGGGGGGGGGGGAGTGTTCCCTGAGGATTTAAGGCTGCATGGCTAGTGCAGCTACCATGAACTCAGCAGGTTTTAATTTTTATTTTTGCCCTTGACAAAAACAAAAAATCTTCATGCATTACCAGGTTTGAACTCAGGTCTCCTGCATGACAGCACTTCACTCTAGTGACTCAGCCAGTCGCTCCTCCACAGTGGAAGAATTCTAATTTTTTTGTACAGACAAAATAAGTCATCTTTCTTAATGTTTGGGGGAAACAAAATATAATATTAAAAAAATGAGAAAGAGCAGAACATTACTATTTTGGCCACATTTTGAGAAAAGAAAAAAAAAAACTGGCACATACTGTCACAACTGGAAAGATGTACAGAAAGAGAGACAGAAAAGGCCAATAAAAGAAGATCTTTGACAGCCTTTTGACATGGCACAGAAATGTGTCAATCAACTGATACTGTTGACCCTCACAGGATGCACAGAAGAATGATCACATGATCACTTACATCAGTCAGTAAGGGCACCTGATGATGATAATACAGACTTTAAATATAACAATTTTAATGAAATGATGACAGTAAAATAGCTTACCAGGATTTTCATGTTGTCTTGAATCTCTTCCATTGTCAAAGGTAAAGCCATGTTTCTTTCTTCAACTGGAAGATCTCTGAAAGATGCAGCATTAAGTTATGTCTGACCACAAGTTTGTATTATATTTGTATGAATAAATGATAGCTGCTTGTATGAATAAATGATAGCTGCTTGTATGCATAAATGAAAGCTGCTTGTATGAATGAATGATAGCTGCTTGTATGAATGAATGATAGCTGCTTGTATCAATGAATGATAGCTGCTTGTATGAATGAATGATAGCTGCTTGTAAGAATAAATGATAGCTGCTTGTATGAATAAATGATAGCTGCTTGTATGAATGAATGATAGCTGCTTGTATGAATAAATGATAGCTGTTTGTATGAATAAATGATAGCTGCTTGTATAAATAAATGATAGCTGCTTGTATGAATAAATGATAACTGCTTGTATGAATAAATGATAGCTGCTTGTATGAATGAATAATAGCTGCTTGTATGAATGAATAATAGTTGGAAGCAAGTTTGCATGAGTAATTGAAGAAGAAGAAAAGAGGGTGAGGACAAGAGGGGTAAGGCAGATAAACAAGGAGGAAGAAAAAAAATAGACTAAAATGGAAGAGGAGGAAGAAGAATGTGAAAGAAAATACAGAAAAATAAAGAAAGATTACCTTAATTCTTCAGCTAATCCACTTCCTGCAAAACCTACCTTCTCTGCCATGGATCTCAGGAAAAGCCACTTTATCTGGCCCATCATTTTCTGTTAGTGTCCCTTCCCTCTGTGTTTCAGGCTCCTCTGTAAGTTCTGCTTCAGATTGTCCCAACACTTCATGGCATATCATCTGGTGATCAGGCAGACCTACTTCTTCAGACTGACCTACTTCTTGAGATAGACCTACTTCTTCAGACTGACCCACTTCTTGAGATAGACCTACTTCTTGAGACTGACCCAGGTCTTGAGCCTCACCTACTTGTTCAGAAGCTTGAGAGATGTCTGCTTCTGCCCAGTGCTGTCTAGCAATCTAATGTGTAGAAAATAAAATAGTTGCAAACAAATCAACACATTCTATTCTCCATTAGTGACAATGTATACATTACACTCCAAAGGAGACTCATGAGTTATATAATCACTAAGTTCTTGTATTTCACTGGTGCAAAATTTGGGATCAGGTTTACTTTATATGGAATGGGTTGCATGAATCTAGAGGTCACAGGTGGTGACAGTCACATAGGTATTTTGCCCAGGCCATGCAGGCATGTTTGGGAATGAACAGGCAGATAGGCTGGCTGGACTGGCCCCAATAGGGGGTGTACTGCAACTGCACAAGGCAAAGGTGATCTTTTGCCTGTGTGATGAGGTAATAACTAAAATGAAAGTTACTGAAAACCTATACCGGGAAAGAATGATGTTGGGAGGAGTGTCTATGGGCTCTAAGCGTCACTTGAAACTCAAGGGAAAGGCATGACAAGTAGTTAACCAGATGAAAACAGGTACTATCAGTATGGAGGCTCCTCGCTGGCTACTGAAAAGGGAGACAAAGCTAATATGGTGTGTTTCCTGAATAATGTTTTGTTGAATCTTCACTCAGATGACCCAGATTGTTGCAAAAGCAGTTTTTTATTACTTTCTTTCACAAACAACATTTTTTTTCTCATCCTCCTTTGTCTGATTGTTATCAACAACATTATTTAAAAAATCCTAGGACTGCAGGCTGCACCATAGTGGTGTATCCATTACATGTGCCCCAGTTATAACTTTCTTGGAGGTTGAACAGGGTAGCTTGGATCGGCCATGTTGGTCTGTCATCCAGATTTTAAAAAAAAATGTTGTTTGGTATCCTTTACAGGACGTTGCAGAACCAACCCTAACAGCCCCTGGCTGTTGTGTGGTTTCTCTAGGAAAATTTACCTCCAGTAGTTTGTCATTGCTTTCTGGACGGCCGGCTTTCTTGATACCACTGTCGAAACTAACGCAAGGCGCATTGCCCGCAGCTGGGATCTAACCTGGCATCCTGGCATTACAAAGCGAAGCGTTCGCATCGACTTAGCCACAGAGCCGACCATCCAGATTAGGACTTTTTAAATCTCAGGGTGTCAAACCTCTAAGTAGCACCCGAGGGGGAGGGGGAGGGGAGGTTGATAAAGATTTATCCCCCACTGGAAAATCAATTGCTTGTACCTTCATAATTGAAATTCACAAATGAAAGTGATTTGTTTTGGATTAAGTATTCAATATCATTGACAGCATCAGTTCTGTCAGCCATCTTCCAGAATTTGACATAAAAAGCTGACAGCACAGCATTTTGGGTCACATCCGTAGCCCACTCATTGTATTTGCCATATTTTTCTGTGTATAAGACGCCTCCATGTAAAAGACAACTCTAATTTGTTTAGTCACAAATTAAGAAAGAAATTTTTGTAACACATTCCGTGTAGAAAACGACCCCCATTTTTAAACTTTAAAAAATATGGGAATACACATCGTCTCAAACCAGGAAAAAAACCTGGTAGTTTGAATTGCTTCAGTCATCAGCATCATCATCAGTTTTCACTTCTGCTATTAAGGGTTGTGGGGAGTTTACAGTTTGTGATCCATTGCTTGTGTGCAGCAGTGGCTACTGTCATTCCGTATCGATGTAGAAGCTCTTTAATGTCATCAATCCATATTCTCCTAGGGCCGCCTCTTGCTTTCACTTCAGATATGTTCACGTGTAGCACCTGCATTGAAGCTGTTCTGGCTGCATTCTTACTAAATAACCAACCCATTTGATCTTCTGTTTCTCAATGCATTTCCTGGTGTTGTTCCTACAGTCTGTCTGATAATGTCATTTCTAACTCTGTCTCGGATGGTTAACTCTTTGAGTCCCAGGGAACGCATCATACGTTTATAGGTCTTACCTAGAAGCCCAATGAACGCATGATGTGTCGATTTTAGTCTCTCTTTACTACCCATTAGGCCTGTGATGCTAAACCCCCTGGGACTCAAAGAGTTAAGTTGGCAACTTTTCTCAGGCATCTCATTTCACAGGGGTTAATCTTACGAAGGTAAGTCTTTGATGATTTTATTTCTGCCTTGCTGAAGCTATTAGCACCAGAACATTAATACATTCTTCTTGTTTTCATCAGGTTGAAATGCCAAACTTGCTGTGCTTCATGATGCCGCACCCCCCCCCCCCCCCTCCCCACCTCATATTTTCTTTGTGATGGAGCATCTGACACCCACTATAGTAATTCGTCAGCATCATCATGTGCTATGGCGAAAAGTGTAGTCTGTCATGTGTTGCCAACCCACATGATCACCATAATCACAAATTAGGTCCGTGTTCTCACCCCATCCAGGTATTTATCAGCTAACTGGAGGAAGAGAAAAAATATGAAGAAGACTTACTACATCACTCAGAGCGGGCCCGTTAAACAAGATGTCCATATCCTCGTGCTGGCTTAGTATTCTGAAGATGACAAATCAATCAATCAATCAATGAGGTGCCAGCTCCACAATGAAGGTTGGCTGCAATGGATCTTTAGCATGCTCTTGTTTCTTTTTTTCGTGTGTGTGCCTTGGATATACACTCTCTTATGTTGCTGTTCGTCCATGCCTTGATGTTATCCTTACACTTGTATTGCCATCTGCCTCTTGCTCGCTTGCCTTCAACTTTTCCCTCTGGTATTATTTTTTTTAATAAGAGTGCTATGGTCGTTCAATAAGGTTAAAATGTTTTGATTGTTTATTTTAAATAAGATCACAAGTTTTTCTTCATACTGTATGTTAAGGTCCACATAAATAAATTAACAAACACTCACATTTTAACTTACTAAAAAAGTTCTCTAAGGCAATGAAGGTTTGCTGCAGTGCACTCACTGCTTTAAAAAAAAATGTTATGGTGAGGCTTCAGTCTCTTCCACTGTGCAACTCTCATACTACTGTCTGAAAACCACAAGATGTTTTATAACAAAATACCGTCTATTGTGGAAGTGGAATCCTTGTAGTTGAGAATCATGAAACTGTTAAACTCGCTCACTTCTTCTTCTTTTGTCCCACTGCGTATGATGCAAGACATCATAGTTAAATGCAGTTTCCTGTCTTTTGCTTGTTGCGGAGTTTGTGTTAATGTCATATTGTGTTTCTATAGTGTTTCTCCACCTGTCTCTTTCTTGCTTGGCCTCTTGACCCTTAGCCTGCTGATTGCTTGTAGTACGCTTAAGCTGCTGCCTGATATTTCCCCTACTGACCAGATGACCAAACCATTTGATTCTCTGATGTTCTAAGAAATCACTAACCAGTACTGTGCCTATCATTGTTCTTAGTTCTTCATTGGTAACCTTCTCTTCTTATTCTTTCTGCCCTATTTCTGATACTGTCGCTAACCACTTTAAGGCATGTCTTAAGCTATGACTAGGGAGGGTTGGCAGGGAGCGGAGGGTTGGCAGGGAATGGAGGGTTGGCAGGGAATAGAGGGTTGGCAGGGAATGGAGGGTTGGCAGGGAGCATAGGGTTGGCAGGGAATGGAGGGTTGGCAGGGAATGGAGGTTTGGCAGGAACGGAGGGTTGGCAGGAATGGAGGGTTGGCAGGAAATGGAGGATTGGCAGGGAATGGAGGCTTGGCAGGAACGGAGGGTTGGCAGGGAATGGAGGGTTGGCAGCAATGGAGGCTTGGCATGGAATGGAAGCTTGGCAGGAACAGAGGGTTGGCAGGGAATGGAGGGTTGGCAGGAATGGAAGGGTGGCAGGGAATGGAGGGTTGGCAGGAATGGAGGGGTGGCAGGGAATGGAGGGTTGGCAGGAATGGAGGGGTGGCAGGGAATAGGTGTTTGCAGGGAATGGAGGGTTGGCAGGGAACAGAGGGCTGGCAGGAATGGAGGGTTGGCAAGGAATGGAGGGTTGGCAAGGAATGGAGGGCTGGCAGGGAACTGGCTAACTCATTACAAAGAAAACTTCAGCTGCAAATTACAATAGGTCACGAACAAGCGTACACAGAGATTGGTGTCAGTTGACTTAACAGGTTCTAGGCCCCATTTTGGAGAAAAAACTAATACACACACTTCTCCCATAACAAGTAAAAGTTGTAAAAGTCAACTAATTCACGGTTTTTCCTTTAAAGTCAGAGTCCATCTGCCTGAGAGGTGTGGAACAGTCTGCATATAAATAAGCAAGATCTGTAAAACAGATGAGCATGCAAAACTGAAGTCTTGGAACAATAAAAAAGTCTAGAAGTGGTTGAACAACCAGAACTTTCTACTGGAATTTACAGCTTGTGAACACTAAGAAGATGAAAAAGTTCAATCTTGAAAGGGTGGGCTGCACGGGTCACTATGTGACACAATCACCAGTTTCAGATCAAGTCTGTTTTTTTGTCTCACTGCTATCTACTTATCTCTTTGTGTTCCTCTTGTTCTTTTCTCTTCTACTTTACTAGTAATCATTAAGTTTTCAAATTTCTATCTCCTTATAACATGCCAAAAATCTTGATTATGAATGTTTAATTAAAACAAATATATATTTAGCTAGTAATAATGGCTTGAATATTGTTTCATTACCTGGCAGAAGTAGCAATATTGCTCATTGCAAGCTGGTACATTTTGGCAATTTTTCGCATGAGTCTCTTTCTTTGCTTCTGTTTTGCTTTCAGTTCAGCTTTTTGTTGTACCTTCAAACCAAAACATGGCGATTAAACAGAATGAAAACATGCAAAGGTAAACTTCCTGTACAGTGCAAAAGTACGACTTCATTTGTGAAAGAATATAACACCATCTTTATTGCCTGTATTGACTACTTTTAGGGTGGTCTATTCCTGTGTGTGTTCCCAGACTCCATTTTAGATGATAAAGAATAGACCCACTGTCCCCCAAACAAGCATGTCATAAGAGGCATCTAATGAGGTATGTTTTCTTCAAAGTTAGAGTGAGACAGATGCCCTCTGACCTCGAAGGAAACACCGCTAATTAGTCGACTTTTACAACATGCTTGTTAAGGGGGCAGTGGGTCTGTTCTTATTTTCCCCTGAATGGGTCCCAGAACCCACACAGGGAATAGCCAGATCTAGATTGGAATGACACAAGAAATCCTGACCCCACTAGGGATCAAACTCCACTAGGGATCAAACCCAGTTCACTTTAATAGCAAGAGTATGGACCATATGTTATTCTCCTGCCATGGCTCTTAAAATCTGATTCTCAACATCACTTCTTCTTCTGTGCATTCACCGACTGTAGACTCCGGTGGAAAGTTGTGGCTGATATTCCAGAACTTGAGTTTTGCGTGTACATCTGTTCTGCAAATCTGGTTTATTTGCAGACTACTGGTTCTTTATCTCTCAGGCAGATGAGGAATTTACATGGACATATCCTTAATTAGTCCGCTTTTATTACATGCGTGTTAGGGCGTGAAGTGGGTTCCCCGGGAACCCACATAAGAATTTCTCAAAATAAAAATTTACAAAATACTAACAAAATTAAAGTGCCTCTATGAAGCGCTAGTATACTGGTAAATGGTCCAGTCGGGATAAATTCAAACGCCATTTAACTGGCGATTAGTTCACAAAGAGTTTAATATAACAATAAGACAGTCAAAACAAGAAACAGGGAGTTATAAAAGTTATTGATGGTAAAATACGAGCATGGTCACTCTCTGCAGAAAGAATAAACTCCACTTTGCCACAGATCCTGCTAAAAAAAAAAAAATTACACAGATGAATCAGCAACTTTTAAATATAAAACAACACAACCAAGACCAAAAACAGCAACTTATAAACACAAAATAACAAGCTAAGAATACCTCAGTAGGATCTGGCTGTTTGGTGGCCAGGTCCATCGTGAAGCAGTGCAACTTTGGCATTTCAACCTGATGAAAACAAGAAGAATGTATCAATGTTCTGGTGCTAATGGCTTCAACAAGGCAGAAATGAAATCAACAAGGAAAAGAGTGGACCTACTTATGTATGAGCTTGTGGAAGAGATAAAGAAATGATGAAATATTTCCCGTAAATATGTCTAACAGAAAACTGAACATAAAAACTTTTTTTTTTAAACGGTTAAGAGTTGGACATGCATTCTGTCTTTCTAATGTCATACATTATTTCATACATATTTTAGAACATAATAATTAAAAAATTAAAAATAATAATAATTATCATCATCAACAGCTAAATGAAATTTTATTCCAGAACTTGAGTTTTGTGAGCTATCCATTTCATAGATCTGACTTATTGATGTATACAGACTGTTGATTCCTCACCTCCCAGGCAGATGCACTTGGAAGGAAAGAGCCCTCATCATTTACCTTTTACAACATGCTTTTAAGGGGGTAATGGGTCTATTCCCCCCTCCCCTAAATGGGGCACTCAAACCCACATAGAGAGCAGAAATGAAATCTGAGAAAGGCTGCATGAGTGACCAGATACAATCAAATCTGCAGTGAATTTATAAGAGAAACAGTCGGCACAGCAGAAATAATAATAAATTACATGCAAATACAGCAAATAAAAGGATTTGCCCACTTTGAGAGAATACCATGTGACGCCATCCCACACAAGGCATATTCTGAAAGAGAAGGAGGGATGCAGAGCATAGGGTAGACTAAAAACATGAAAAGAAAGAAAAGCCTAACAGAAAGAAAGAAAGACTTGAAAGAAAGAATGATTACTTTGTTCTCAAAAGATGATATACAGTCATACTCCCAGAAAAATACAAGGCTTTTTTCTATTAATAAAAGTGTATGTACTCAACACAGAATCTCTAAAAATGATACCTCTACTTGCCACAGAGTGTCTATTACGGTAGCGGTTAAAAATTATATCTAATAAGGTACCAGAAATGCATACTGTTGCACAAAGCCAGGAAAAAAAAAAACTACCTATACATAATAGTTGCAGATGTTCCACCCCTAGCGCCCGCACTCACGCAACTGCACACACACACAGAGGTATATCCACCGTCACTCATAGTTATAAAAATATACAGAGATGGGGATGAGAGAATGCAATAGAATGAAAGGAGCTGGATAAAGAAAGTGTAATGATCATGCGAGGGCAGGCTGAAGTGAAAGCAGCTACAATAGTGGGGGGATTGGGGGGGGGGGGGAGGGGATTGGGGAGGGGGTAATAATTAAGAAGGGAAGAGAAGATGAAGGAAAGGAGGATAAAGAAATAATCAAAAGCAAAAAACAATCCCTGACAAACTAACAGACAAATTTAACTTAATAAAAGCTTACAAAAAGAAGGAAGGAAGATGATAAAGGAAGCTGGATGATGAGGGGAGAAGATTGATGACACATGAACAAGAAGACGGACGAAGAGGGAAATGAATGTAAGGTCGAGAGAGAAAGCGGGTGAAACCAGGGAGGAGGAAGAAGTATTAGAAATGAGAAGGAGAGGAGATGGGAGATGAAGAAGCATACTTGTTAAATACTTGTTACCTTGGGAAACCTCCTGTCAAAGTCAGATTGAAGAAGCGTTTTCTGTCTGCTGGTGGGAAGTCCAGACATGCTTGTACGTTTCTGTGAAAGATAATATTGTTCAAAACAAAGGACCCTAGAAAGTGTTCCCACAAAATGTATGATTCTGCCACTTATGCTTCTTCCAGTGACCTGTCTGCAGCAAAGGTTGCTCATCATGTCTAAGTAACCCTGTCTGCAGCAAAGGTTGCTCATCATGTCTAAGTAACCCTGTCTGTTGTCTGATATCATATTGAAGTTGTTACTGCTTGTATTATTATATATTGCCTAGCATTTTAAACTTGTTACATACATATACCTCTGTATTCCTTCTTCTGCCAGTCTGTATCTAATCATCATTATGTAGCAGGTAGTGTGCAGAATGTCGCCTGCTTGACGGTAACTCAGCCTCTCATCACATCTCCTGATTATGCTAACTGTACAGGCTGCAACCTGATTTGGCTAACTGTACAGGCTGCAACCTGATTTGGCTAACTGTACAGGCTGCAACCTGATTTGGCTAACTGTACAGGCTGCAACCTGATTATGTTAACTGTACAGGCTGCAACCTGATTATGCTGACTGTACCAGATACAACCTGATTATGTTAACTGTAATAACTGCAACCTAATTATGCTAACTGTACAGGCTGCAACCTGATTATGCTAACTGTACAGGCTGCAACCTGATTATGCTGACTGTACAGGCTGCAACCTGATTATGCTAACTGTACAAAGTGCAACCTGATTATCCTAACTGTACAGGCTGCAACCTGATTATACCAACTGTACAGGCTGCAACCTGATTATGCTAACTGTACAGGCTGCAACCTGATTATGCTAACTGCAACCTAATTATGCTAACTGTACCAGCTGAAACATGATTATAAAAACTGTACCCTGATATAAAAACTGTAACCTGATTATGCTAACTGTACCAACTGCAACCTAATTATGCTAACTGTACCAGCTGCAACCTGATTATACTAACTGTACAGGCTGCAACCTGATTATGATAACTGTACAGGCTGCAACCTGATTATACTGACTGTACCAACTGCAACCTAATTATGCTAACTGTACAGGCTGCAACCTGATTATACTGACTGTACTAGATGCAACCTGATTATGCTAACTGTATAGGCTGCAACCTGATTATACTAACTGTACAGGCTGCAACCTGATTTGGCTAACTGTACAGGCTGCAACCTGATTATGTTAACTGTACAGGCTGCAACCTGATTATGCTGACTGTACCAGATACAACCTGATTATGTTAACTGTAATAACTGCAACCTAATTATGCTAACTGTACAGGCTGCAACCTGATTATGCTAACTGTACAGGCTGCAACCTGATTATGCTGACTGTACAGGCTGCAACCTGATTATGCTAACTGTACAAAGTGCAACCTGATTATCCTAACTGTACAGGCTGCAACCTGATTATACTAACTGTACAGGCTGCAACCTGATTATACTAACTGTACAGGCTGCAACCTGATTGTGCTAACTGTACAGGCTGCAACCTGATTATGCTAACTGTACAGGCTGCAACCTAATTATGCTAACTGTACCAAGTGCAACCTGATTATACTAACTGTACAGGCTGCAACCTGATTATGCTAACTGTACAGGCTGCAACCTGATTATGCTAACTGTACAGGCTGCAACCTGATTATGCTAACTCTACAGGCTGCAACCTGATTATGCTAACTGTACAGACTGCAACCTGATTATACTAACTGTACAGGCTGCAACCTGATTATGCTAACTGTACAGGCTGCAACCTGATTATGCTAACTGTACAGGCTGCAACCTGATTATGCTAACTGTACAGGCTGCAACCTGATTATACCAACTGTACAGGCTGCAACCTGATTATACTAACTGTACAGGCTGCAACCTGATTATACCAACTGCAACCTAATTATGCTAACTGTACCAGCTGCAACCTGATTATACTGTACTGATACAGGCTGCAACCTGATTATGCTAACTGTACAGGCTGCAACCTGATTATACTAACTGTACAGGCTGCAACCTGATTATACTAACTGTACAGGCTGCAACCTGATTATACTAACTGTACAGGCTGCAACCTGATTATACTAACTGTACAGGCTGCAACCTGATTATACTAACTGTACAGGCTGCAACCTGATTATACTAACTGTACAGGCTGCAACCTGATTATACTAACTGTACAGGCTGCAACCTGATTATACTAACTGTACAGGCTGCAACTGCAAACTGTACCTGATTATACTAACTGTACAGGCTGCAACCTGATTATGCTAACTGTACCAGGCTGCAAACCTGATTATGCTAAATGTACAGGCTGCAACCTGATTATACTACTGTACTGTACAGATTATGCTAACTCTACCTGATTATATGCTAAATGTACCAACTGCAACCTGATTATACTAACTGTACAGGCTGCAACCTGATTATGCTGACTGTACAGGCTGCAACCTGATTATACTGACTGTACTAGATGCAACCTGATTATGCTAACTGTACCAGCTGCAACCTGATTATGCTGACTGTACAGGCTGCAACCTGATTATGCTAACTCTACAGCTGGTGAACGCAAAGAAGAAGAAGAATATCTTAGAACAACATTCACTGACGATAGTAAACTGGACGAAGAAATTGACATCTGATGCTGTCAAGCAGGCCAAGTATTGGGACAGCTAGCTACCCTCTTACAGCATAAGGCAATCCCAATCAGTACAAAGAAACATGTCATACAAAGTATATTCATTCCCACCCTATGCTACCAGTGCCACAACAACATAAAAAAGAAAATTAGTAACCATGGAAATGAGGTGTCTGATAAAGACTGTAGGAGTGACCAGAAAAGATAGCAGACATCAGAAATAATGTCATACGAGATAAAGGCGGCACAGAACTACTTCTAAATTGAATACAAAGATAGCAAATCAAATGGTTTGCCCACTTGAGCATATACCAAAAGAGGAGATGGATGTACAGCAAGAGGCAGACCAAGAACCAAATAGGAAGATAACATCAGAGAAACTCTACAGCATAACGATGTGTCTAAGGTCAAAGCAGCCAGAAGAGCACGAAGCAGGACCTTATGTCTCCCTCGACACCCGAAGCAGTAAAAGAGGATGTAAAAAAAGAAGCTCACCGAACACAGGAGCAGCAGCAGCCTATGCTAAGATGCAGCACTGTGTCTGGGGCTGTTCTAAAACATGACAGGAGTCCAAGGTCATCCTCGCTTAAAACTGGTACCAGGACTTGTTGTGGCAAGAATAGGTGCCCATAGGGATACCGAACCAGGGAATACCAACTGTTCTATACAAAAATGGAGCTGGCACCATAAACCCAACATGCCTTGTGGAATGAAAGCAAATCAGTACCCATGTGGATAGTGCGCTACCATTTTAGAAAGAGGAAGACACAAAGAACAGACACACTGCTCAAACAATCTTGGGAAAAGGGGACTAATTTATTTTATGAAATCAGATATGATGGGATAAAATGTGTCCACCTCTCTTTTAAGGGAGAATGCTGAAGATGAAGAAAAAGAAGAGAAGGAGGGAGGGGGAGGAGGAGGAAATAAAGAAGAAGAAAAATAGGAAGGGGGAGGAGGAGGAAATGAAGAAGAAGAAGAAGAAGTAGAAGAAAAAGAAATAGAAGGAGGAGGAGGAGAAGGAGGAGAAGAAGGAGGAGGAGGAGGAGGAGGAGGAGGAGAAGAAGGAGGAGGAGGAGACAAAGGAGGAGATGAAGGAGGGAACAAAGGAGGAGACAAAGACAAAGACGAAGATGAAGAAGACAAAGATGAAGAAGACGAAGACGAAGAAGAAGAAGATGAAGAAAAAGACGACAAAGAAGAAGAAGAAGACAAAGAAGAAGAAGAAGAAGAAGAAGACAAAGATGAAGACGAAGAAGAAGACAAAGAAGATGAAGGCGAAGATGAAGATGAAAAAAAAAGAAGTAGACGAAGAAGAAGAAGAAGATGAAGAGGAAGACAAAGAAGAAGATGAAGATGAAGACAAAGACGAAGAAGAAGAAGACAAAGAAAAAGATTAAGGTGAAGGAGAAGACGAAGATGAAGAAGAAGAAGAAGGAAGAGACGAAGAAGAAGAAGGGAAAGAAGAAAGAAGAAAAGACGAAGACCAAGAAGAAGAAGAAAGAAGAAGAAGAAGATGAAGAAAAGATGAAGAAGAAGACAAAGAAGAAGAAGACGAAGAAGAAAGAAAGAAGATGAAGAAGAAGAAGAAAGATGAAGAAGAAGAAGAAGAAGAAGGAAGAAGAAGAAGAAGAGAAGAAGAAGAAGATGAAGACGAAAAAGAAGAAAGAAGAAGAAGAAGAAGAAGAAGAAGAAGAAGAAAAGAAAGAAGAAGATGAAGAAGAAGAAGACAGAAAGAAGAAGAAGAGGAGAAAAAAGATGAAGAAAGAAGAAGAAGAAGAAGAAGAAGAAGATGAGGAAGAAGAAAGAAGAAAAAAATGATGAAAAGAAGAAGACGAAAGAAGAAAGCAGAAAGAAGAAAAGAAGAAAAAAGATTAAGAAGAAGAAGAAGACAAAGAAGATAGAAGAAAAAAAGAAGAAGAAGAAGATGAAGAGAGAGAAAGAAGAGAAGAAAAAGAAGAAGAGACAGAGAAGACAAAGAAGAAGAAGACAAAGAAAGGAAATGACAAAAGAAGAAGAAGAAAATAAGAAAAGAAAGAAGAAGAAAAATGAAGAAGAGAGAAAGAAGAAGACAAAGAAGAAGATTAAAGGAAGAGAAGAAGAAAGAAGAAGACGAAGAAGAAGGAAGAAGAAAAGAAGAAGAAGAAGAAGAAGAAGGAGGAAGAAGGAGGAGGTGGAGTTCTGCCTTTCCAGGACTCATTTATTGCCTCTCGACTATTTTAGCTTCCTCGGAAAATGGCACTGGGAGATCTGGCCGACGCTGGACACTCAGGGGAAAGGCTAGACGAGTATACAACCAGACAGTTACTGGTACCATCAGAATTTTAACTCTTTGCTTGCTGCTGAAGATGGGGATGGAGCACTTATGGGGGTATCCCGAGTGCTGTGACATCGATTCTT